AGAATTGTCCACACTGGACAAGCAGACCTTAGTCTTGTTGCAGAGCTCTGGGAGAAGACAGGAAATATGGATATCCAGGGAGGGGAAGCTGGGATTTTTAGATACCCACTTGTACCAGCCATCAACTGAAAGCAACCCCTGAGGACATTTAATTCCCCAGTGCTGTGGTCTGTCCTTCAAACAGCGAGTGATGGTCTAGTGGCCAGAGCACATCTTGGGAGAAAGACACTGATGCTGGCAGTAGAATTCGGGCCATGAACAACAGAGAGTTTGGGAAGATATGGGGGATACCAATGATTTCTGTATGAGGAGAAGCGTGTAGGATCCACCAAGAGCCACCTTCAGAGAAAACTAAGAAGAGCAGAAGCTGAGGGTCAGAAGAAATTATGTTTCAGAGAATTATCCCAGTTCTCTTCCCAGGAGGCAGTAGAGAATCCTGCTATATGAGAGGGCCTCTAGGTTTGTTCTGGACTTGAGTCCTTCCTGGCCCTCCCCACTTTAGGAAGAGAACACCATTCTACGGAGCTTATCTGTTATGAAGTTGGGTTCTTGGGAGCACATACTCCTGGAAAGTATACATGTGACTTCATGCACCGGAGAGATCCCTTGGCAAGAAGCATGTGGCATCCTGGCAGGTGACAGATCAGAGCTCTGGCCATGGCAATCCTATATACTCACTATGTGACTGGGTGACCTTGGGTATCGTCGATCCATCTCTGGACCATCTCTCCCAGCTTGTCAACTCAGAGGCTAGACTGCCCTACATGAAAAAATCCAATACTCCAAAGGTCACATTGGATGTAGATTTCATTTCCATTCATTTTTAATATGGTTTTTCTACACTGGACTCTGACCTCATAGGTGAGAAATAGGCCCGAGAAATGGAGGGGACTTGCCACAGGTCGCCAAGAAGTTAACTGGCAGAACAGACTGCAACTTGGTTCTCCCTGACCTCCTGTCCAAGACTCCAATACTGCAGAGCCCAGTGACTTTTCTAAGATCTCCCCAAGGCTTAGGTAAAAGAAGCCTTAGCAAATGAATGTGAGCCCTGGGATTTGTGTTTTATGTTCTCCACCTGGTTCTATGATCTAGGAGGGTGGTGTCCAATGACTATATGAGATTCTCAAAGTATCACTAGAGAGCTTAAATAATAAGACTGCTGGGTGCTGTCTCCATGCCTTCTGATGCTGGAGGCCCCAGGGAGGTATCTGATCATTGGCAATTCCAATGAGCTCCAAAATGATTCTCTACAGTTGCCCAGGGACTACAGCTTGAGAGCCACTGGGCTGGCCCTGTTCTCTGGCTTCTCATGGGTTCAGCTACCAGACAGCAAAAGCATAGTGTGTGTGGAGGCAAAACAGCAGGGTCAGGGAACTTACTCCCCATCCCGCTTTGTTGGAGATGCCACTAGGGGACATACCTGTGCTTAGTTAGACTCTGTCTCCAGGTCCTGGCAATTTCTCCCTGCAGAATCCTTGGTGGCTTCTAGTATCTTTGCTCCTAGATTACACCTTTATGAAGGAACTTGTCATTACTTCTCAAAGGATACTCTCGGGAGGTTCCATCAGTTTTTCACTGGGATCCTGACCGATCACAGGACAGTGCCACTTTATGAAATCTGCAGCCCTTCTGAGAATTGCCTTTTCCACAGGCATCTCCCTCCTGCCAAATTCAGAAAGCTCCAGAATGTCCACAAGGCTGGGGGTGGGAGATGGACACTTTGCTATTCTTGAAATTCCTTCTTGCTCACAGTCTCTGCCCTGGAGCTATCTGAAAGCAAAGGGCTTTGTTCTCACTTCGCCCATTCATTTCCTTCTGTTCCATTCCTTTCCATTTCTACTCCCTGGAAAGCCCGGTCTCCATTACTACATTCTCAATGGGATCATTTGGAAGAAAGAGTTCTTTTACCAAGGTTTCTCTTTCACAGATCTTTGATGGCAGCCCCTGCCATCCTCCTTTCCCCTTTAATCTTTGCTGTGCTCCCTGGCCTGGGCCTTCCTCCTCCACTCAGGCCTTTTGGGAACCTGGGCTCCTTAAGATGGTAATCACAGCTGGTTTTCTTCTTGTGCCAAGAATATTTCTGTTTACTAAGGCTGGGCAGGCCTGGCCTTTGAGAGGGACACATATAAGGGCAGGGATACTTTCTAGGCCTCTGGGCTGTTCCTCTTTAACCATTTTCATTGAAACTTCAGGAGCCCCTTTTTTTGTTCCCCTTTATGTCTTGTGTCGCTCTTTGGACCCACAAGTCACCTGGTCTGTGTCTCTCCGCTGGACTCAGTATAGTATATATACTAGTATAGTATATATCCTAGCTCTGATATGCCTACAGCCACTGAACTTCAGTTAGAAAAGAGATTAGGGTTTATTTAAAACCACAAAGGGGATACTAGTAAGGCTCCTGATTTTTCTCCATCTCTATTTTTTTTCTCCAGGGCTGGATATAAGACAAAAATTCCAAGGTAAGACATGTCTGTAGGAAGAGTGGCTAGCACTGGAAGGCTGGGGTTGGGGGCAGAAGCAGCCTAGAAAGCTGTTGTAAAGCTTTCTGAGGCCGGGAACAACTACAATGTAATTTCTCTGGGAATCTAAAATGATGTGGAAGAGGCCCTTCTGAGGACTGGTGAGGAACTTGGGGTTTCACGGCAGCTGAGGTTTCTCCCAGATATGTTGATTCTTCAGATTTGCTGTCTGTCTTGTGCTTGGGCATAGCATCTTTCCCTGGCTTTGGATATAGTCTTTAGTCAAAGAGACGTGGGCAGGGCAAGGTGGAACCATGAGGTATGTGGAATGCATACTTAAAAAAGGAGCTCACACACAGCTTCTATAGCTAGAATATAGCTCCCCAGGATAGCGGGCCTGGGCACCTGATCCCTGTTAACTCTATCCTGCCTCTGCTCCCCATTCTGCCATTGGAGCTACTGTACAGTGAGTGATGTGGCTATAGGTACTAGGAAGTCATCTCAGCAAAGGAGTTCAATTCCATTTCTATTGCCTTCTGCAATTCTGGCTATCAAATGGTGCTCTCAGCAGGAATGGTGTGTCCTTCTCTCCTTCCTGTCCTGTCTTCTCTTGGCTCTTCCCTCTTTGGACTTATTCCAGTGTAGTGTTGGCTTGATCCAGCCTTCCTCCGGTTATCCTTCTAAGGTGTTCACTATCAATTTGGGGGCACAGTAGACAGAAATGCAATGCTCATGCCCTACAGGACCCTCCTATATTCAGTTCTTATGTTTTAGACATAAGTCATATGGAAGTTTTGGGGAAATAGAAATGCAAGATGGCTGTGGACTGTGCTTCTGTGAGGCAAGCAAGCAGGCTCATCCATATGCCTCTCAATGTACAGCAATGACAAAGGCCAAGGTGAACAGAAGACACAGAGTTCTAGGGCTGAATACTGTGGTTCGTCTACATGTTTACGGTCAAAAAAATTCCCCTAGAGAGTGATGATAGTTGATAGACAAATGAAGAAGTAGACATTAGCAAGTCAAAGAGAGAAGGGAAGAACACTTTGATGGAGAGAATGGAATGTGTCAAGGTGACCTTGAGGTGTGGAGGGACAACATGGAAAGCTCAAGAGCTGTGTGAGAGTCAGCGTGGCTTACCAAGGAGACTATGATGGACTGAGCCCCCATGAGTGGATCTGGAAAAGGCCTTGCAAGAAGGAGAACTCAAGGGTGAAAAGGAATGCCTAAAGGGCTTTTAGTAGAAAAATAATACCACTGAAGTCATATAGTAAAGATCTTTATGAATTCTGTCAAGGATCAGATAGGTAGAAAGTTTGGGCCAGTTGGATATGGAGGAGACTGGGAAGAGGCTGGGCCAGATCCAGGGGACAGTTGGTGATCACCCAGGCAGGGATGAGCTCTGGTAGGCCTGAGGAGGCCTTGCCTATCTTTTATATATCTCTCATACATCTTGTCTTCTGTCCGTTGGCCTGAGTATTCCTGTCTCTATGAGTAAGCCTCCCTTCCTTATGCTCTAGGCATTTGTTTTCCACATCTGTTCAATATTCCTAGGAGCAGGGCACTGAAAACCTACTTTTGACAGTGAACCCCATTTGAGTTCACAACCCGACAAGAACATTGGATAATGCACTAGGTACTTTAGTGTACTCCAGGCACTGTGTTGTGGCAGATGATGGTGGGGACAAATCACAGTGAATAGCCACCTGTCCCAGAACAAAGACATCTCCCAGCGCCCAGCCCAGGAAGTGTTCAAAGGAGGCCCACACATCATGTCTTAATACATGTTTGCTGACTATTTGAATATCTCTTTCCGACACTTCACTTGCAAGAAATCTTGCTGTTTGCATGCAAGAGAGAAATTATAAATGTTTTCTGATTAGTTCCACTATTCAGAGCCCATTCCTAAATCAGCACAGGAAACAGCTAAGCGAAAACTTCTGCCTCTTTCTTCCTTTACAAACTGCCTGTGTCTTATTCTTCCTCCAGCTTTTTTCTTTGGCGATGTCTAGACAGTTAGAACAAAACTTTTAACTGTGCTAGAAATAACTTGTCCCTTAGGATTTCCTCCTTTCCCCTTGCTTTGCCCAAACTGGGGTACCCTGAGATCTTAAGAAATATTCCTCACACAGTGGACAGGATGTCAAAAGGCCTGGGTTGGGCTACAATAGATCACAGGAAGGCTGCTATGGGCAACTCCTAACAGAGCTTTAACTCAATATTTTCTCGGGTAACATTGCTCTCTCTCCCTCTGCTGCTTAGAAGGCTGTTCATACCATCATCTGGAAGTGCCAATACTGGTGTGCTATCACTGAGTGGCAATCAGTTTTGTGACAGCCCTCTCTCCCTCTCTTCCTCACTTAGGATTGTTATTGACTTCATTTGGGCCTCACCATCCCTTCCTGCGATCGTTGTAATAATCTACTAACCCAAAGTCAGGAACATAAGGATTATTTTATATCAAATCCCAGGAAAAGAGAACTTTTTTTCTCCCACATTTCCCCAAATCTAAGACATAGAAACTCCCAGAAGGACACCTACAGGAAATGATGTTCCCATATCGATTCTTATTGCGGTTTTCATCTTCCTTGGCTGTGTCCCACGAAGCTGTCTGTCCCTCTGGTAAGGCCTACAAAGCAAAGGCAGATTGGTTAGCATAACCTGAGATGGCAACTCTCCTCAAGTGTAGATGAACCAACAACAGGAAATGAATATCCACTGTGATGGGCACTCAGTATAAAGGGCTATGTGCCTATAGTGCTGCCTCCCGTGGTCTTACCTTGCTTGTTCATTGGCTCAAATATTGTTCTGTCTTATTTCTGTCATGAGCTTACAGTCTACAGCAGCAAGGATTCATTCATTCATTCATTCATTCATTCATTCATTTATTCATTCATTCATATACTCAGCAGATACTCATTGATCCTCTAATATGTTTTGGAAATTTTTCTAGGTACTAGGAATCTAGAGTATCCAATGGATTAGGAAATGTAGAAAAGGACAAAGAAAATCCAAATTTATATAATGAAGATATGAAGAAATAGAGCAGGATAGAAGTTTAGGAAGTTTTCTGTGAAAAACTCACATGTAAACTCATTCCTTGTTGGGCAAGTCACACTGAGAGAAGTAAAAAGTGCTTTCCAAGCAAAAGAAACAGATGCAAAGGTCAGAGATTGACCACATGATCATGTTCATAGATGAGAGTATGGTACGATTGTTGGGGTAGGAGATAATGACTGGAAAATTCTAGAGAGATTTGAGAATCTAAATGACCTCCAAGCACTATAGTTACTGGTTAATACAGAATGTTGTTCTACGTGTGGTAGGGAACCATTGGAGGGCTCTGAGCAAGGAGGTCACCTCATATGCTATACAAAGGGCATTCATGTTCCTGTGTGGAATGCAGGCTGTAGGAAAGCCAGAGAAGAAACAGGATAATTGGTAATGAATTTACTGCAATCATACCTCATAATGGCTCTTGGACTGTTGGAGCAGGTAGTAGTAGTAGACATAAGAAAAGTAATTATTTTGTGGTGTTCAGTTGAGTGTGTCTGACTTAGGTTGCCTCAGGAGCACAACCAGAGATAAGGCTTTCAGTACAAGTGGTTGGGTTTGGAGGCAATCAAAGAGAATGAGTAGGAGAATGGGGAAAGCAGACAATTAAGGGTATGAAGCTGACAGGGCAGACTGTCATTGTACCACCAAGCAAAACTTGGGCATAATAATTAATGAGCACATCTCATGTTCAGGGCTCTTGGACGAGAAGGGAAGGAGAGAGTTGGAATGCTTATCCATTGTTTCCCTTCTACTGCAGTTGGAGAATAACTGTTAGAAACCCCCCATATTTATGCCATGCTCTGTAAGTAGTGTGGATATTCTTTAGTCTTGAGGAAGCCCTTGGATAACAAAGCAGATGCTTACTAGAGGAAGATGTCAGGTTGGTATGCATGAGAACCATGAATGTGTGGATTTGTACAGGGTACTAATGCAAAGAATTTAGATAGGAACTATGAAAGAAAGAAGAATGAAGGCTGGCCTTTAGGTCAATGGTTTGAAGAACCAGAGAAATACCATTTACTGAAATGGAGAAATATGAGGAAGAAATATGATTAATTGGGTAGGAATTAAGCATTGCATTTTGGGTACATAATACACTTAGAAGATTGCCAACTAGTGGGTACTGTGTATATTTTAATATGTTGAAATTAGTAAAAAATGATAATAGTAATAATGGCACCCAAATTTGAGATGTCTGCAAGATATATAAGCTGAGCCGTTGATCAGGAAATTTAATGTAGAGCTCTAGAGCTTAAAGGGAGGGATGAGCTAGAAAGTCATCAGTCAGTTTAAGAGGGAGGCAACTATGTAAGTGACAGCCAAGTAAACACCCGTGTGGATAGTCTGCAAGAGCTGAGTGCCAAGTGGTCCAGAACAAAGGGAAGATGCAGTCAGTACCATCATGAAGGGTAGAAATGAGCATTCGTGGAGTAGGAACAGCTTTAACAAGCCTGCAGCAGCATGCAGGACAAGCCCTATTTTGATGAGTGTCTCTATCCTTCCTCACAGAAGGACAGGCTAAATGTCCTGCTCATGGTCCTTGCATTACTTATGATATTGAATTTGCAGCTTCTGGTTTGCACAGAGGAGGAGAAGACATTCACTCATCTAAACACATCAGCTTTCACCTTGCCCATCTAATCCTCATTAGGTACATTCTAACTAAGAGCAAGAACTCACCAACTGGCCAGAAATCCAGTCACTCAGCAGGCTGTGGGCTCAGAGAAAGGCATGGCCACTGTGCATAAAAAAAGTAGTGTTTGTGTACAGTGAACCCTTTCTTACATCTAGTCTCACATGGGCTTCACCAACTTTGGTGGGTTTCCCATAGCAAAGGTTATATTCAAGACTTATCTATGAAAATCTGGATACATATTTGAATCACACCCTCTGGCTGTAGAATAAAAGCAACCACAGAGAAATGCATCTGCTTGTAAGTATGTGTTTAGCTTGTGTCTATGCTTTGCTGACCTGTTTTCTTGTTTTTTTTTTTTCTAGCATGACCATGGGCTTCATCTATGCAGTGGTTGGATATGTAGAACTGGTATCCATTCTGTCTCCTCTCCTTCCCACAGCCACCTTCGAAAGGCACTAATGAGAGGGCTTTGCCTGGGCTTCATGACTAAGCCATGCTTTCTAATTTCACTCCAAGGTGTCTTTTCAGCTGTTGTTGGCTCATAATGTTGTTCTTTGTGTGCCTCAAACCCTTAGGTAGGCATCTCAGAGGGGAAACAAAGCAATCCTGGCCTCTGGGTACCAAGCATGCCTATAGCAACCTATACCTTGGTTTAGGCTATCTTTTGACCACAGATGCTTCCTGTTCTTGCACCTCATTCTGCTTCCAACCTCATGCTATTCCTGACCAGGCAGCCTTACTTCTGTCAGTCAGCCTGCTGGTATATTGCTGCGTGTCAGAGGCTTAGTGACAGCTCTGTCTTTCATGATATTTGGGCTGAGCTTTGGGGATCAAACTTTCCACTTGAAACTCTCTGTGATAAAAGTCCACTGTTCATTCCAACATGGTGGTGGGGCATAATATTTTCACATGAATCTTATGAAAAAATACATTTAGTATTGCAGATACAGCATGTGTGTCAGAATTTAGGTTTCAGTTAGCTTAAGGTCTCTTTATGGCTGCATGCTAGAGTTACTTGTGTATGGTTTCAAGCTCTTAATGCCAAGGTCTTATTCCAGACCAGATAAGTCACTGTCTGTGATAAAATGTGGACATAGGCAATGATCAAAGCGCTCACGGGATTTCACTGTGAAAATGGTAAATTGACCTGCAGAGATAATTTACCTTTGGATCTCCTCTTTGGTTTCCCTGGCTTTGGTTTTGTTCCCTCCAATTTATCCTCCATTGTTGTCAGAGTGATCTTTATAAACTGTGAACAGGACCCAGTTACTTCTCTTTTTATTGAATAAATTCCAAATTCATAACAGGCCTTTTATGACTTCATCCCAAATGTTCTTTCAGCCTTACTTCTTGCCATGTACAAAGTCCTTCAGATTTCTGAGTCTTTACACATGTTCTTTCTACTTGAAATTCCCTTCTACTCGAGGCTTCCTGTAAAATCGCTAGGTATCTTTCCAAACTCAACCAAGCTTCTTCTCTTTTGTAGTCTTTATGCTCACCCTTCCTTACTGTATTCTCAGCTAGAGTCAGTCACTTCTATATTATCACATGGACATCTCTACCTCTAATAATCTAAAAGCTTATCTTCCAACTTGGCTTCCTATCTTCCATGGGCTTCTTCAGGGAAAGGATAACATCTCATTTATAATTCTGTTTCCAGGGCCCACTGCTAGGACTGTACTTTATACTGTTAGAATGACAAGTTTGGGATGAATTAAATGACTAATAAATGAAGTGGCTTCTGTGCCTGTGGATGACAAAGATCTTGAAATTGAAGCATCATCAGTGACCTTGAAAACTGTCCTGCCCCCTGTGACCTTCAGGCAGCTGATCAGCTGATTCACAGTGTCAATCACTGGGACACCCTCAGTGACAGAATGCTCACTGTCCCTCAGTTTCCTGCCTGTCTTCTGAGTAGCATCGCTGGCTGGATTTCTCCTTCCTCTGGCCCTGTGCTCTGTCTTGGTCTGCCTCCATGGGCCCAGTAGAAGAAGCATGGGCCCTCTGTATTGTAACACTGAAGAGATCCAATGAAGGTCCATCTTGCCATTCCTAGAGTTCTTAATGGTTGCTTAACATCACAGCCATGGCCTTGGAAATAAGCCAAGGCAAACCTATTCCAGGAAAATCCTGCACCCAATGTAACAGTTGTAAAGATTGAAGGCTGCTTCCCCATGGGAATACACATAGGCACCTACTATAGCCCCAGGACTTCTGTCTCCCCCTAGTGAGGTTGAAAGAAACCAGGGATGGGGTGTGGGGTGGGTATGGGTTTGCGATGATGTTGACAAATATAGAAGGTGCACCTAATAGAGCCACCAAGAGGAGGTGGTAATGGCCCCTAATTGGCAGACTTTGATCACCCATATGTTTCCCCTTTTAGGCAGCTGCAGTCTAATAGAGGATAATCTCTTCAAGAAAACAAATCTGAGGGGTAAGAGCATGAAAGGGAGACTCATCTTGTCTTCAAAGTGAAGGAGCCAGGGGCATTATTTTTACATTAGTGGCTAGTTACAGTAGATTGACCAGGGAATGGTGGCAGTCATTAGGAGCTAATCACATTCTTTTGAAACCAAAATTGCCACCTCGTTATACTCCTCTATTATCAATCTCTGGTTCCCTTTTCTTGTTCTTTCTCCTTAAAGTGCGAAGCCCTATTTTTGCATTCCCCTCTGAGTGTGGGAAGGTTTCCTGCTCTTCCGTAGTGCTCCTTTCCCGAGGAAGTCACTTAACTTTTGTTCAAAGGATCTGTTTGGGGATGTCCTTGTCCCTGGAGAGCTGAGCCTTGGTATGCATTACATCCTCAAAAGTTATTTGAAAAGGTCTTTTTGAGAAAAACAAAAGAACTAGATTATTGTGGAACCTAGGTAAGCAAAGTCCGGAGGCAGAAGAATAACTGCTCGGCAACACGGGAGACTGTGTTCTGCTTTCCCACA